AGTAGTTAGTTAGTTAGTAGTTAGTTAGTTAGTTAGTTAGTTAGTTAGTTAGTAGTTAGTTAGTTAGTTAGTAGTAGTTAGTTAGTTAGTTAGTTAGTTAGTTAGTTAGTTAGTAGTTAGTTAGTTAGTTAGTTAGTTAGTAGTTAGTTAGTTAGTAGTTAGTTAGTTAGTAGTTAGTTAGTTAGTTAGTTAGTTAGTTAGTTAGTTAGTTAGTTAGTTAGTTAGTTAGTTAGTTAGTAGTTAGTTAGTTAGTTAGTTAGTTAGTTAGTTAGTTAGTTAGTTAGTTAGTTAGTAGTTAGTTAGTTAGTTAGTTAGTTAGTTAGTTAGTTAGTTAGTTAGTTAGTTAGTTAGTTAGTTAGTTAGTTAGTTAGTAGTTAGTTAGTTAGTTAGTTAGTTAGTTAGTTAGTTAGTTAGTTAGTTAGTTAGTTAGTTAGTTAGTTAGTTAGTTAGTTAGTTAGTTAGTAGTTAGTTAGTTAGTAGTAGTTAGTTGTTAGTTAGTTAGTAGGTAGTTGTAGTTAGGTAGTTAGTTAGTTAGTTAGTTAGTTAGTAGTTAGTTAGTTAGTTAGTTAGTTAGTTAGTAGTTAGTTAGTTAGTTAGTTCGGTAGTTAGTTTTTATTCGTTAGTTGTTAGTAGTTAGTAGTTCGTACGTTAGTTAGTTAGTTAGTTAGTGAGTTAGTTAGGTAGTTAGTTAGTTAGTTAGTTAGTTAGTTAGGAGTTAGTTAGTTAGTTAGTTAGTGGTAGTTAGTTAGTTAGTTAAGTTAGTTAGTAGTAGTAGTTAGTTCGTTAGTTAGTCGTAGTTAGTTAGTTAGTTAGTAGTTAGTTAGTTAGTAGTTCGTTGCGTTAGTTAGTTAGTTAGTTAGTAGTTAGTTAGTTAGTTAGTTAGTTAGTTAGTTAGTTAGTTAGTTAGTTAGTTAGTTAGTTAGTTAGTGTTAGTTAGTTAGTTGTTAGTTAGTTAGTTAGTTAGTTAGTTAGTTAGTTAGTTAGTTAGTTAGTTAGTTAGTTAGTTAGTTAGTATTTAGTTAGTTAGTTAGTTAGTTAGTTAGTTAGGTTAGCTTAGTTAGTTTATAGTTAGTTAGTTAGTTAGTTAGTTAGTTAGTTAGTTAGTTAGTTAGTTAGTTAGTTAGTTAGTTAGTTAGTTAGTAGTTAGTTAGTTAGTTAGTTAGTTAGTTAGTTAGGTTAGTTAGTTAGTTAGTTAGTAGTTAGTTGTTAGTTAGTTAGGTCAGTTAGTTAGTTAGTTAGTAGTTAGTTAGTTAGTAGTTAGTTAGTTAGTTAGTAGTTAGTTAGGTTAGTTAGTTAGTTAGTTAGTTATTAGTTAGTCGTAGTTAGTTAGTTAGTTAGTTAGTTAGTAGTAGTTAGTTAGTTAGTTAGTTAGTTAGTTGTCGTGAGTTGTAGTTTAGAAACTTTAACCACTATCCAGAGGCTAGTTACTCCTTAGTACTTTTTCTAATTCTTGATATTAATTTTCGATTTTAATAATATTTATTTCTTTAAATCTAAAATCCATTTGGAATTAAAATCAAGAGCTGGACTGACAATTCTCAATATATTGGCTTTGTTTTGATACTCTTTTTGTCTCAACACCATGGGGAATTTTATTTGTTTTGAATCTTTGTTATTCCTGTCTTCATTTGTTTGTATATTGGTGTCACAATAGAGATTTGGAAATTGTATTTTAAGTTTTCAGTTTATTTATTTTCATATTATTTATAAACTTTTTTTTGCTCATATTATTGTTGTGCAGCTCATGGCTAAAACAATAAACTGCAAAAAAAAAAAAAAAAGAAACGACTAAAATAGAAATAAATAAACATTTTATTCAACGAAAAGTCACCATCATAGAGAAAAACAATTTTTTCTCATTACTCATACTTAGGAAAACTGCCTCTAGTAGAAGTTTTAAAAGGATGTGTAGTAGCTGGTGAGGACGTGTTAGTATTTTATCTGTTAGTGATACTGTTTTACTCAAACACACACAATTGTTGCTGACATAAAATTAATTGCACTTAATCTGGTATTATTTGTATACAAATATAGACACTCAAAATACAAATACTCACACACAAACTTAAACATATAGACACAGAGATACAAACTTGTAGAGCTGTATATCCTTTTTGCCATCATCATCGTATTTTATAAATACTTATTTCAACATAGAGCCAAACCCAAAAGGACCAAGAGACATACAACGGACATTTCAACATTTTTCTGTCAGAATTTTTCATTTAAAATGTAGAAAAAGATCGTTTTATAAATTCATATACTGTTTATAGGATTGTTTCAGGCTGCTGCTGCTATATCTATCCGTCTGTCTGTATGTTTGTGTATGTGTGTCTGTCTTTGTGTTTAAGTGTTGAAAAGTATTTAATGGTTTTTTGATTTATGTATTTTATTGCTGCCTTTACTGCTGTTGCCCCATTTTGTTTGCAATTGTACACGTTTTATTCGATTTAAATGTTTATCGTAATTTTTTCATACTCTCAAAAGTATGCTACATAAAATGTATGTGAGATGTTGAAAATATCCATTTTATTCATATTAAATGACCAGGAGAAGACAGACATAAACGTAAATGGTAATTTATATACAAATACTATGTTACACAAACGTTATTATCCAATTGCTTTCCGTTTCTCGGTGTAAAAAATACTACTATTTTATACCGTTTTTTTTTTTTAATTATAAGAAACACTTTGTCATCTGTTGCCAAATATTTATAGACTATATAGACAGACAGTTGACAGTGTGTGTTAAAAATCTGAAAACTTTTTAACTATTAATAATTTTTTGAAAATTGTAGTATTTTTTTAATACTTTTAAAGAATTAATTGGAATTTAAGAAACTTTTAAATAAACGAAAAATTAAGATTTTTACAAATGGTAGTATTTTTACTACTATTTAATAAAATTAATTTTGCCTTAGTTTTCATTAAATTATACTTTAAATTTAAAAAATAACATAAAAATCCTGTTTTAAATAAGTAATATTTTTAGTACTTTTTTAAAATGTTGTTATTTTTTCTTAAAAAATATTTTTCATTACAACGCCAAAAATTTAAAGCAAATACTTGAATTTAAACGTTTTTAAACATTATTTTAAAAAGTAGTATTTTACTACAATTTTCAAAAATTTTATTTTTAATCAAAAATTATATAAAAAATTTTTAAAATAATTACTAAAAAGTCTAAAGTAACAGTAAATTATTTTTTATATTTAAAAAATAGCATTATTTTATAAAAATTATATAAAAAATTAGTATTTTACTACTATTTTTAATTTTACTATTTGTAAAAGTTATAAAAATGTCTTAACAGTTACATTAGCAATAATTTTGAAAAATTTTATTAAAATTTAAAAAGGTAGTATTTTACTACTTTTTTTAAAATGCCAACTTTAAACCCTTAATTGTGTCAGAAATTATGAACTATTAAATTAAAATCAGTTTACACAACTTTTGCCATAATTTAAAAAGTAGTATTTTAGTACTTTTTTAAAAAAGTACATTTTTAACACTCTATTGTGTAAGAAATTGTATAACTCTTATTTTAGTAGCAATTAGTGCAAATTTTGAGATGATTTAAAAAAGTAGAATTTTTACTACTATTTTTAAAAATCGAATTTCATCTCCAAATTGTGTCAGAAATACATAAATAATATTTTAAAATCAATTTGTTATACATTTTTCATAATTTAAAAAAGCAGTATTTTAGTACTTTTTTAAAAAAAGTACATTTTTATCTCTCAATTGTGTAAGAAATTGCATAACTCTTATTATAGCAGCAATTTATGCAAATTTTAACATTATACAAAAAAGTAATATTTTTTACTACTATTTTAAAAAGTCGAATTTTATCCCCAAATTGTGTCAGAAATACTTAATTAATATTATAAAGTAAATTTTTGCAACTTTTGTAGTAATTAAAAAAAGTAGTATTTTACTACTATTTTGAAAAGTTTGATTTTAACTCTCAATTATATAAGAAATTGTATAGCTGTTATTTTAACAGCAATTTATGCAAATTTTAACATAAATTAAAAAAGTAGTATTTTACTACTGTTTCAAAAAATACCAAAGTTTAGCAAAAATTTTACATTTCTCATTTGAAAATATGAAAAATAACTATTTTTTCAAGCATACAACAATACTTCATCAATACTTTACTCCAATAACATTTTTGTTGAAACCATAAATTTTATAACGTTGGGTTGTCCGCTGTAAATAAATACCAACATATGTATATATGAATGTAAATACATATGTATGTATGTTTTCATTGATATATACTCATACATATCAATAAGTAATATATCAATTTATACAGATTAATTTCTTTTAAAAACTCTTAATACATCCATCCGTTCGCTGGTTTAAGCAAATAAAATTGAAAAAAAGTGTGAATTGTATTAATGAAAATTTTAAAGCTTAAAATTGTTAAATAGCACCCTACACTATAATACAATTTAAAACTTCGTTCTAAAAAATCAATTGTAAAATTTATTTTTTAAAATATGAAAACTCTTCTCATACTTGTTTTAATTTTAAAAATTTCATAAATCCTAGCAAATGCCTTAATTAAAAACACATTCTATAGGGCATCCTTTTTAAAAATGACCCTACATTATGGTCTTACTCATTGCTATACACAAGTATTTACTTTAAATTAATTAATATATTAATGTACCAACACATGTTGCCTCATACTTAAACACAAAGATACACACACATAGACACAACTCCATTTTTATTCACCATCATAAATTATGTGTTAATCTTTTTAAATATGGCTTATAAGTATTTATGCCTATATGAATGTGTGAAAGTTTTAATATATACAAAACTACATACGTGTGAATATTGCTGCCTTTAGGGCCCCAACATTTATTAATTAATATGCATAATCCTGTAAAGGACATACGAGTCCTTTTTTTATCGCTGATAAGTTGTGACATTAAGAAATTATTAAAAATTAAATTTTTGTGTATTTCTCTTTAATTACAGGCGCTTGTGACGAATGTCATAATGTTAAAATTGCTGCTGGTATTAACAACATCAACATGTTTACTATCAACAGTTAATTCCGGTACACCCATTGGTAAGTACAACAGCTGAGCATGAGTTTAAAAGTAAATTTGTTGAAAAGATTTCATGTTCATGTACGAAAACAAAATGAATGAAATTTAACATTGGTAATTAATGAGCTGTTATATAACTATTAGGGGTAATCAAAATACAATGGCTGAGAATATTAAAAGAGAACTTTACTGGAGTTAAACTAGAATTGAACTAGAACTGAACTAGAAACTGAACTAGAACTGAACTAGAACTGAACTAGAACTGAACTAGAACTGAACTAGAACTGAACTAGAACTGAACTAGAACTGAACTAGACTGAACTGAACTGAACTAGAACTGAACTAGAACTGAACTAGAACTAGAACTGAACTAGAACTAGAACTGAACTAGAACTGAACAGAACTGAACTAGAACTGAACTAGAACTGAACTAGAACTGAACTAGAAACTGACTGAACTAGAACTGAACTAGAACTGAACTAGAACTGAAAGAACTGAACTAGAACTGAACTAGAACTGAACTAGAACTGAACTAGAAACTGAACTAGAAACTGAACTAGAACTGAACTAGAACTGAACTAGAACTGAACTAGAACTGAACTAGAACTGAACTAGAACTGAACTAGAACTGACTAGAACTGAACTAGAACTGAACTAGAACTGAACTAGAACTGAACTAGAACTGAACTAGAACTGAACTAGAACTGAACTAGAAACTGAACTAGAACTGAACTAGAACTGAACTAGAACTGAACTAGAACTGACTAGAACTACTAACTGAACTAGAACTGAACTAGAATTGGAATACCCCTTATGTTTATACCGCTCAAATATTTACTAAGTAAACCTAATTGCATTTTATATTTCTCCTTAGGAACTGGTGGTCCCTCTTTAATATACGAAGGCAAAGATGCCTTATTAACTTGTGTTGTGTCTGAGAATCGTAAGTAACAATACTGTGATATGGAAAAAATTAGATGAAATTCTTACCCGCTGGTAAGGTGAGAGTTACCAGTGATCTACGTATAAGTGTTTTGCATGATGAAAGTGAGTACAACCCCTTCTTCAGTCTTTAATACATTAAAACTAAATTTCCTTTTGTAAATAAAGGCCCCAAAGGTAGAATAGAAACTGGCGGAGAAGTGTGGGTATTGTTAATAAAGAAACTAAAGCCCTCAGATTCAGGCAGCTATATATGCGAATTGAATTCTGAGCCGGTACTACGTAGTATACATATATTAACTGGTAAGTTTTTAAATTTTTTTAAATCTAATATTTGACAAACTAATTTGTTTCCTTTATGTGTAAATGTGTGTTCAGTTAAGCCATTACCTTCAAAGCATAATAACAACAATAATAGTTCATATAGTGACAGCAGTAGTAATAGAGATTCAGCTGCCAGCGAATCAAGTGATGTATTTTTAGTGCCTCCCCCTCTGGATGCCAACGATAATCGTTCGTTTTGGCGCACTGGCTCAGTGGCACCGCAAATAACACACGATTTCACCGAATGCTGTGAACGTGCCAACGTCAGCCAAGGTTGTATGGGTTTCTGTAATGTTCACAACATTCTTGATGGGACGACAGGCATTGAGCCAGAGGCTTGTGAAAAAGATTTTCCTCAAATCGTACGATGCATGGCCGATGGCCGCAATCATGTGCCCTGTTGTGTAGAAAAACAAATACCTGACTTGTGTCAGGACATGTGTCGCGGTGAGTACACACCATTTACCGATATGCTGCGTACGCGAGTCTCCTGTGTCCATCATACGCTGAGTGGTCTGCAGTGTATATTACAGGGAGTGCAACAGATACCCAGCAGTCCATTAAATGTGGCAGCTGATGAGGTTAGCGAAACGCGTGTCATCATTAGTTGGTCGCCGCCTGAAAAGTTGGCCCACTTGGTCAAACATTACAATGTCAATTTAACAGCTTTGCATTCGTTCGACGAAGATGAGGGTGATGAGGGCGCCGATGATGATGATGGTGATGCTGGCACCATTAGAAAAGAAGATGAAAATGTTATTATACGCTTGGTATCAGGAAATGATACGTCAATAACCATTAATGACTTGAAACCATTAACAATGTATGCCATTCTAGTTACGGCAGTAAATGACTATGGCAGCAGTTTACCAAGTGAACGTTTGCGTATTTTTACACATACCAGTGCCTTGGCTACAGAGGAGAAATCGGGTCCCTCTAATAAAATGGATGTACCAGATCTTCCCGATATACGTTCGTGTTGTGAAACGAATGGTATGACTCATCGCATGTGTTTGGATAAAATGTGTGATCCTCAGAAGACAGATCTAGCGACACTGCCTGATTTTATGGTATGTGCGCCCTGGTCTAATATCACCTTTAATTGTTTGGCCAATAATATAGATCATACGCCCTGTTGTCGAGCCAGAGGTATACCCACCGTGTGTTATCCTTTGTGTTCGGGCAAAGTCTCGACGTTGGATTTTAATTTGTTTAAGTGAGTTTTTGACCAGAAGGTTTCCTTTATTTTATTTGTTTAACATTTGTGTTTTTTTGTTGTTTACAGATGCTTACGCTTTATGTCAGAATTTAGCAGTTGCTTGTTCCAGGGTTATGGTTTTTGGCGGATCCTCCTAGCAAGTTGCATACAGTGGCTAAAAACTGATTCATTTGTGATTTTAGATTGGAATAAACCTAAAAGACTGGCTGATACTATAAGCACGTTCCATGTCAAATTCCGCCGATTAGGAGGGGGTGATGATTATTTGACAGTGGAAAAGGTAAGTCAGAAATATTGGTCTAGAGATGAACAAGGACCAAATAAGAACTGAACTAGAACTGAACAAGAAATGAACTGGAACTGAACTAAAACTGAACTAAAACTGAACTAGAACTGAACTAGAACTGAACTAGAACTGAACTAGAACTGAACTAGAACTGAACTAGAACTGAACTAGAACTGAACTAGAACTGAACTAGAACTGAACTAGAACTGAACTAGAACTGAACTAGAACTGAACTAGAACTGAACTAACTGAACTAGAATTGAACTAGAACTGAACTAGAACTGAACTAGAACTGAACTAGAACTGAACTAGAACTGAACTAGAACTGAACTAGAACTGAACTAGAACTGAACTAGAACTGAACTAGAACTGAACTAGAACTGAACTAGAACTGAACTAGAAACTGAACTAGAACTGAACTAGAACTGAACTAGAACTGAACTAGAACTGAACTAGAACTGAACTAGAACTGAACTAGAACTGAACTAGAACTGAACTAGAACTGAACTAGAACTGAACTAGAACTGAACTAGAACTGAACTAGAACTGAACTAGACTGAACTAGAACTGAACTAGAACTGAACTAGAACTGAACTAGAATACTGAACTAGAACTTACTAGAACTGAACTAGAACTGAACCTAGAACTGAACTAGAACTAACTAGAACTGACTAGAACTGAACTAGAACTGAACTAGAACTGAACTAGAACTGAACTAGAACTGAACTAGAACTGAACTAGAACTGAACTAGAACTGAACTAGAACTGAACTAGAACTGAACTAGAACTGAACTAGAACTGACTGAACTGACTGAACTGAACTAGAACTGAACTGAACTGAACTAGAACTGAACTAGAACTGAACTAGAACTGAACTAGAACTGAACTAGAACTGAAGAGAACTGAACTAGAACTGAACTAGAACTGAACTAGAACTGAACTAGAACTGAACTAGAACTGAACTAGAACTGAACTAGAAACTGAAACTAGAACTGAACTAGAACTGAACTAGAACTGAACTAGAACTGAACTAGAAACTGAACTAGAACTGAACTAAACTGAACTAGAACTAGAACTAGAACTAACTAGAAACTGAACTAGAACTGAACTAGAACTGAACTAGAACTGAACCTAGAACTGAACTAGAACTGAACTAGAACTGAACTAGAACTGAACTAGAACTGAACTAGAACTGAACTAGAACTGAACTGAACTGAACTAGAACTGAACTAGGAACTAGAACTGAACTAGAAACTGAACGAGACTGAACTAGAACTGAACTAGAACTGAACTAGAACTAGAACTAGACTGAACTAGTACTGAACTAGAACTGAACTAGAACTGACTAGTACTGAACATAGAACTGAACTAGACTGAAGTAACATACTAACTGAACTATAACTGGAACTGAACTGCTAGAACTGAACTAAACTGAACTAGAACTGAACTGGAACTGAACTAGAACTGAACTATAGCTAAAAGTGTCATTTTATTTGATTTATGCAATTGTTCTTTAAATTTATTCATTTGTATCTTTCCTCTCCATTGCTCTTGCGTTTTTTGAAATCTTCAAACCATAATTCAAATTTTATCATGATGTTTTATTTCCTTATGTTGCCTGCCTTCCGGTTTCCTTTATTTATAACCCTAATTTTAACATACTTAATAATAAACTACTAACTACATTTTAACATTTATGTAACTTGTTGTTTTTTCTTTCTCTTTTTCCCCACAATGCTCCCCACTTTCTAACATTTTTGAAAATTTATAACTTCTGTGCCGGCTATGAACCTTGTTGCTGCCTGTATATGAAAATAAAAAACTAAAAATGAAAACTAGAAAAATCCACCACTTATATTGGAAGGCTTAGAGCCAGATGTCTACTATGAGTTTTATGTGGTTTCGATAAATGCATACGGTAAAAGTGAACCCTCACCACGTCTCATAATACGCACCCAGCCCTTGGAGGTGGAAGATGTGTACGAAGCGAAATATAACATGAGTACATGCTGCCAAGCATCCGGACTGTTGCCACAATGTGCACCATTGTGTACTTACAACATACGTTTATCGGACATTGAAAAACTAGGACCAGCGTGTCGGGCACAAATGTGTAAGTATATTTACAAGTAAAAGTACAAGTACTGTTGTACTAGAACTCCCTCTACTACGATTACCACTAGTTTTTTTTTTCAAATGTTTGTATACATATTTTTTTGCTACACTTGTACGCAATATTTTACTAAGGAGCAAAAAAAAATAATGAAAAAATAAAAGACATTAAATAAGATTTATATGCAACACGATATGCATGCGAATTAAGTTGCATATATGTGAGTAGAGTTTAAAAATGTTGCAAAAACTAAATAACCAACCAACCCACACATTCAATTTTGTAGCCAGTTGTAGAGAGTTGCTTGCTAACTTGCAACATTCTTGCTGTGTATCAATAAAAATAATTACATTTTTTTCTTTTACACTTGAATTTATTTATGGTTTTTCTCTTTTCCACATTTTAAATTTAGTATTAAATTTTTGTGATTTTTTCTTGTTTTTTTTTTCCTCTACTCCCTATAGCTGTAATTGCCCGATGTGCTGCCGGCGGCCGAGACCACACACCCTGTTGTGTTCGTAGAGGTGTTACTTCGGCCTGTATGTCTCTGTGTCGTGGTGTCCTGCCTGTACATCATACCACCTCATTATCTACTGGCACCACCTCTAACTCAACCACCGATTGTTTATCGTATGCCGGCAATATTTTACAATGTTTCGAAGAAGGTAAGTGCAGGAGTTTTAAGGAATTTAATTTAATTTGTTACTAATAATGGTCTAAGGGAGATGAAAAGGCAAAGAGTTGGCTAGAGTAGACATGTTGGACATGTGACATAAACAGATTGTAATAAATTTAAAAGAGAGAAATGAAATCTTAATTTAAAGATAGAAATATGGGACACAGTTTAAATTGATGTTCATTTAAGGAAAACAAAAGAGTTGTGGGAAAAATAATTTAATGGACGTTGAATTTAAAAATGCTTCAGGTTTTAAAATGGTATTTTAAAACATAAATGTTCTACTTCAGTTGCTTTCTAGTTCAGTTCTAGTTCAGTTCTAGTTCTGATCTAGTTCAGTTCTAGTTCAGTTCAGTTCTAGTTAAGTTCTAGTTAAGTTCTAGTTAAGTTCTAGTTAAGTTCTAGTTCAGTTCTAGTTCAGTTCTAGTTCAGTTCTAGTTCAGTTCTAGTTCAGTTCTAGTCAGTTCTAGTTCAGCTCTAGTTCAGTTCTAGTCAGTTCTAGTTCTAGTTCAGTTCTAGTTCAGTTCTAGTTCAGTTCTAGTTCAGTTCTAGTTCAGTTCAGTTCTAGTTCAGTTCTAGTTCAGTTCTAGTTCAGTTCTAGTTCAGTTCTAGTTCAGTTCTAGTTCAGTTCTAGTTCAGTTCTAGTTCAGTTCTAGTTCAGTTCTAGTTCAGTTCTAGTTCAGTTCTAGTTCAGTTCTAGTTCAGTTCTAGTTCAGTTCTAGTTCAGTTCTAGTTCAGTTCTAGTTCAGTTCTAGTTCAGTTCTAGTTCAGTTCTAGTTCAGTTCTAGTTCAGTTCTAGTTCAGTTCTAGTTCAGTTCTAGTTCAGTTCTAGTTCAGTTCTAGTTCAGTTCTAGTTCAGTTCTAGTTCAGTTCTAGTTCAGTTCTAGTTCAGTTCTAGTTCAGTTCTAGTTCAGTTCTAGTTCAGTTCTAGTTCAGTTCTAGTTCAGTTCTAGTTCAGTTCTAGTTCAGTTCTAGTTCAGTTCTAGTTCAGTTCTAGTTCAGTTTCTAGTTCAGTTCTAGTTCAGTCTAGGTTCAGTTCTAGTTCAGTTATAGTTCAGTTCTAGTCAGTTTCTAGTTCAGTTCTAGTTCAGTTCTAGTCAGTTCTAGTTCAGTTCTAGTTCATTCCAGCTTCAGTTCTAGTTCAGTTCTAGTCAGTTCTAGCTCAGTTCTAGCTCAGTTCTAGTTCAGTTCTAGTTCAGTTCTAGTTCAGTTCTAGTTATTCTATTCAGTTCTAAGTGCAAGTTCTAGTTCAGTTCTAGTTCAGTTTCCTAGTTTCAGTTCTAGTTCCGTTCAGTTCAGTTTCTAGTTCATTCTAGTTCAATTTCTAGTTCATGTTCTAGTTTCAGTTCTAGTTCAGTTCTAGTTCAGTTCTAGTCAGTTCTAGTTCAGTTCTAGTTCAGTTCTAGTTCAGTTCTAGTTCAGTTCTAGTTCAGTTCTAGTTCAGTTTCTAGTCAGTTCTAGTTCAGTTCAGTTTCTAGTTCAGTTCTAGTTCAGTTTCTAGTTCAGTTGTCTAGTTCAGTTTCTAGTCAGTTCTAGTTCAGTTTCTAGTTCAGTTCTAGTTCAGTTCTAGTTCAGTTCTAGTTCAGTTCTAGTTCAGTTCTAGTTCAGTTCTAGTTCAGTTCTAGTTCAGTTCTAGTTCAGTTCTAGTTCAGTTCTAGTTCAGTTCTAGTTCAGTTCTAGTTCAGTTCTAGTTCAGTTCTAGTTCAGTTCTAGTTCAGTTCTAGTTCAGTTCTAGTTCAGTTCAGTTCTAGTTCAGTTCTAGTCAGTTCTAGTTCAGTTCTAGTTCAGTTCTAGTTCAGTTCTAGTTCAATTCTAGTTCAGTTCTAGTTCAGTTCTAGTTCAGTTCTAGTTCAGTTCTAGTTCAGTTCTAGTTCAGTTCTAGTTCAGTTCTAGTTCAGTTCTAGTTCAGTTCTAGTTCAGTTCTAGTTCAGTTCTAGTTCAGTTCTAGTTCAGTTCTAGTTCAGTTCTAGTTCAGTTCTAGTTCAGTTCTAGTTCAGTTCTAGTTCAGTTCTAGTTCAGTTCTAGTTCAGTTCTAGTTCAGTTCTAGTTCAGTTCTAGTTCAGTTCTAGTTCAGTTCTAGTTCAGTTCTAGTTCAGTTCTAGTTCAGTTCTAGTTCAGTTCTAGTTCAGTTCTAGTCAGTTCTAGTTCAGTTCTAGTTCAGTTCTAGTCAGTTCTAGTTCAGTTCTAGTTCAGTTCTAGTTCAGTTCTAGTTCAGTTCTAGTTCAGTTCTAGTTCAGTTCTAGTTCAGTTCTAGTTCAGTTCTAGTTCAGTTCTAGTTCAGTTCTGTTTCAGTTCCGTTATGTATATGATCCAATAAACATTTTTCATTTCTACTTTATCACAGGTACTGGTAGCATACCCGGTCCTGCAGAAGATCTCCATGCCACCTTGGTTACAAACAATTCAATAAGTTTAGTTTGGTCACAACCAGATATCGAGGGCAGTAATAATTTAACCGAAACACCAATAACATCGACAACAACAACTGAAATGTCGACAGCAACAGTTGATAAAACAACAACAATATCATCATTATCAACTTCTGGACAAGCCGCAACAAATGCTGATATTGATTTTATTGTACAATATGGTAAAGTCAATAACATGACCATGTATGAGACTGTAGCCAAGTTGGAGAATGTAAGTACCCACAAAACAAAAATTTTACTTTTATACACATACACACATAGAAATACCAATATGTTGGTATGTATGTTGATGTAAGCATATTTGCTTATATTTACCATAAATACACACTTATATTCATATTGTACAAGCATTAAAGCATACTTATAGGCTGGTATGTGTATGTGTGTATAATTTCTGGAACAGCATACAATATTATTCTATGGTAAAATGTATTGTAAAACTTAAATTGTTTACTAAATATTTTATGCATTTTACAAACATAATAATGATAAGAGTCTCTACTCACATGTACACACTCAGCATATATATTGTTATAAAATTGTGTCTGTCTGTACGTTCGTCTGTCTGTCTAACCATCCATCCATCTGTCCATTCATTTGTCTGTCTGTCAATTTTGGTCTATTGGTTTTATTATGTCTGCATATATTTACTATATATGAGAGTGTAAGTCTGTGTTGAAGAACATTTGAGTTTAAACAATTGACCAGTCATTTAAGTGTCTAAAGTACTTTCTATAGCATTTTGTATTTAGAACGCGTATTATATTTATTTTTAACAGAGACGTGTTTAAATAAGGAAATTCATTAATAAAAATTAAAGAAATTTTTATCCAATGTAGTTTCTTATGTGAGAAATTAATTCCTTTATAAATTAAGTTTGTCTTTATTAATACTGCTTAGAAATACTAAAAGAGTAATAATTCTCGTTTTATAAAATTTTTCTGTACTTAACCAGAACTTAAATATTTGTTCGAATATTTCTTTAAAAAGTCCTTTTTTATCTTGCGCCCCTGTTTTTCTGACTTCTATTCCATGTTTGTCTTATAAAATTCATTCATAAAGTTTTGTTGTATTACTGCTGTTGTTGTTATTTTTTATTGCAGTGCTGTTTGTTTTTATTAGTGTTTTTGTTTACATTTTTTCTATCGTTTTTTTTTCATCTTTCATTAAATGACACAAAATATCCATTAACATTTTCAATTTTGAAAAAGCACAAACAATAATATTAGCATTTGTAGACAACTTTATCAGCAAGGCTAAAGGAAAAAAATTAGGGTGGATCCTGATAACAAATTCTTAGACTTCAGTTGTTGTAGATCAGTTCTAGTTCTGTTCTAGTTCTGGTCTAGTTCTGTTTATAATTCTGTTCTAGTTCTAGTTCTGTTCTAGTTCTGTCTAGTTCTGTTCTAGTTCTGTTCTAGTTCTGTTCTAAGTTCTGTTTCCTAGTTCTGTTCTAGTTCTGTTCTAGTTCTGTTCTAGTTCTGTTCTAGTTTCTGTTCTAGTTCTGTTCTGTTCTAGTTCTGGTCTAGTTCTAGTTCTAGTTCTGTTCTAGTTCTGGTTCTAGTTCTGTTCTAGTTCTGTTCTAGGTTCTGTTCTAGTTCTGTTCTAGTTCTGTTCTAGTTCTGTTCTAGTTATGTTCTACTGTTCTAGTTCTGTTCTAGTTCTGTTCTAGTTCTGTTCTAGTTCTGTTCTAGTTCTGTTCTAGTTCTGTTCTAGTTCTGTTCTAGTTCTGTTCTAGTTCTGTTCTAGTTCTGTTCTAGTTCTGTTCTAGTTCTGTTCTAGTTCTGTTCTAGTTCTGTTCTAGTTCTGTTCTAGTTCTGTTCTAGTTCTGGTTCTAGTTCTGTTCTAGTTCTGTTCTAGTTCTGTTCTAGTTCTGTTCTAGTTCTAGTTCTGTTCTAGTTCTGTTCTAGTTCTGTTCTAGTTCTGTTCTAGTTCTGTTCTAGTTCTGTTCTAGTTCTGTTCTAGTTCTGTTCTAGTTCTGTTCTAGTTCTGTTCTAGTTCTGTTCTAGTTCTGTTCTAGTTCTGTTCTAGTTCTGTTCTAGTTCTGTTCTAGTTCTGTTCTTAGTTCTGTTCTAGTCTGTTCTAGTTCTGTTCTAGTTCTGTTTCTAGTTCGTTCTAGTTCTGTTCTAGTTCTGTTCTAGTTCTGTTCTAGTTCTGTTCTAGTTCTGTTCTTGTTCTGTTCTAGTTCTGTTCTTGTTCTGTTCTAGTTCTGTTCTAGTTCTGTTCTAGTTCTGTTCTAGTTCTGTTCTAGTTCTGTTCTAGTTCTGTTCTAGTTCTTTCTAGTTCTGATGTAGTTCTGTTCTAGTTGTGTTCTAGTTCAGTTCTAGTTCTATTCTAGTTCTGGTCTAGTTCTGGTCTAGTTCTGTTCTAGTTCTGTTCTAGTTCTGTTCTAGTTCTGTTCTAGTTCTGTTCTAGTTCTGTTCTAGTTCTGTTCTGTTCTAGTTCTGTTCTAGTTCTGTTCACTTTAAGTTTGTTTCAAATTCAGTTTGCTGGTTTCTCTTATATTTGGCACTATGGTCATGGTCCATTATTTCTTTGTTTAATTTTTTCCATTTTCTTTTTTGTCTTTAAAGTTATATTACGCTGTATAATGTATATAAAACCCATATAGAAGTTTATATTTATGTGCATTTTAGGATCAGTTTCAGATATTTCTTTTTTCTTGAGCTCTGTGTTAAATATTCTGACTCAAGAAAATAAAAAAAAAGTTTGGTTGACTATAATGAAAAGTCGTAGTAACTGTTAGTGATAGTCATACAGTGTGTATTTATTTTTTGCTTAGATGATGATGATGTCTAGCATAGTTCAGTGAAATGTTTCTTTGGGGAAAAATATTTGCGCAAAAAGAGAAAAAAGTTGAAATTTATGTTCTTATCATTCATAAATTAAACTTTAAACAAATAGAGAAGTTGGTTTTTCTTAGTTTTTTTTTTCTTAAAGAAAAGTTTAAGAAAATAAATTTTTAATAAGAAATTTGGGAAAAAATAAAGATTTGTTAGTTTAACTTTAGTTATTTCGTTGAGTGTATAAATTACGCTGCTGCTGTGTAGCTGCTGGTTTGTTTTTTGATAATTGCCGCTATTAAAAAGTTTTTGCTTTAAACAAATTTTTTTAGTTATAATTTTTTTCAAACATTAAAGCTAAAGCAATTTTTTTGCATTAATGTTTTTCTTTTAAAAATTAATTATATTTTTTTTAAAACATATTTCTTTTAATAGTTTTAAGTTTGTTTAAATATTCATTTTTTTTAAATAAAATATAAACTTTTTTTCATACAAATTCCTGAGAAATTTGTTAATTTCTGGCTGCAATTCGACTATAAGTTTATTTCACTCAATTAAAATCCAAAAATTCCTGAAAATCTTAATCTAGTAGAAATTCAAGTGAATTTTATTATTGGTTTTGGTCGTTTTTATCTTCTTATTGACTGATACTTACTAACTGATGGTACTGTAAAACAAAATGTCAATCATCATTTTAATGTAGAATAACCTTGGCAACTGTTGCCTGTTACTGTCTTTTGGTCTGTATTTTCCGCAATATAAAGAAACAGTGTTTGGAAAAAAAAAAATTTTCCAACAATTGTTATATAGTAGTAACATAAACTAGGGTTTAAATGAGATGAAAAAAACTGGAAACATAAATTTAAAAGTGGGTACACGAAGGAGATGGATAGAGACCAAATATGAGATCAGCCATGTGACTATAGAAGTGACTAAATATGTGGCTAGCCATGAGAATAGATGAGCAACTAGACATGAAAGTTGACATTATAGAATATATATAACATTAAACATATGTATATCATGACATATTTAAAATTAAATTTCAAGACATGACTAGCTATGATACTAAACATGTGTCTAGACGTAACACTAAACTTATGTCATGACATAAGACATAAGATTAAATCTGTTTTCTTCATTTTCAAATATCATAAAATTTACTTCGTGTATTTACTATATCATTTGCATCTGCATTCCGTACAGACATTTATGACTGCACAATTTTAACCCCCAAAACAGTCGTTCATTTTTTTTTTCTGTCTGTTTAATATTTTTCTGAAAGCTGGTCGCAGTAACTTTGTAATATTTTAGTAATTGGCATAGAGAGCAAAAAAAAAGGCAACAAATGAACCACATCACATCATATTTACAAAGCAATTATCGTTCATAATTTAACCACAAAAAAAGTATTAAAGTGCACAAAAAAAACTACGTAATGAGAGTTTTGTAATTTTACGATAGTTTAATGTCAACATTTTGTTGCATGCAGCACTCACTTAGTAAAAATAAAAAACAAAAAACTATGAACAAGTTTGCAATACATCAATTTATGAAATCTAACTTACAACCGGTGTTGAGAGAAGATTAAGTATATTAAATGATGTATTATAGAAAAACTGTAAACAAAATAGGGACAAGTTTAAGTTAGAGATGGAGCAGGCAAAGGTGACTTTAGAAATGAACTATGAAAACAGGTTATGGCAGACATGAGACTAGACCTAGGGCTAAACATGAAACTTTACTTGTGTCCACACATAACACTAGACATGACATTAAACATAAGTGTAGATGTTAGACTAGACGTAAGTCCTGCTATCAAACAATATTTATGTCTAGAATGCAGACATTGACTGAATTTGAAAGTCTATACAATAGACTTTATATAAGGACAGATGTTAGACTAGACATGAGTTCTGACATAACATTTGCTATAAGAATAAAGATGAGTCTAAAGATAAAACTTGATATACGGATTGCTATTAGACTAGACATTAGTCCAGATATCAAACAATATACATATGTATGTCTAGACATGAGTGTAGACATTGACTGGAACATGAGACTATACATGAGTGTAGATATTAGAAAAGACATTAGTGCAGACATTACGATAGACGTGAGAATAAACATGAGACTAGACAAATAGGCAGACAATAATGTAGTCATTAGACTAGACTAGACTAGACATTAGACTGGACATTAGACTGAACTTTAAACTAGACATTAGAGTGGACATTAGACTAAAATTTAGACTGGAAATGAGTAATGAAATTGAGTAATGTATAGACTAAACAGTAGGCTAGACATAAAACTACACATGATACTAGACATGTGTCTACACTTGCTACTAGACATGAACATAGATAAGAGAATAGACATAAAACTTGACATGAGACCAAACATTAATGTAAATACATGAGTGTAG